ATCCATCCATCCATCCATCCATCCATCCATCCATCCATCCATCCATCCATCCATCCATCCATCCATCCATCCATCCATCCATCCATCCATCCATCCATCCATCCATCCATCCATCCATCCATCCATCCATCCATCCATCCATCCATCCATCCATCCATCCATCCATCCATCCATCCATCCATCCATCCATCCATCCATCCATCCATCCATCCATCCATCCATCCATCCATCCATCCATCCATCCATCCATCCATCCATCCATCCATCCATCCATCCATCCATCCATCCATCCATCCATCCATCCATCCATCCATCCATCCATCCATCCATCCATCCATCCATCCATCCATCCATCCATCCATCCATCCATCCATCCATCCATCCATCCATCCATCCATCCATCCATCCATCCATCCATCCATCCATCCATCCATCCATCCATCCATCCATCCATCCATCCATCCATCCATCCACCCACCCACCCACCCACCCAAATAGTGTTTATGTTGACGTACTTGTTTTAAATTGCAAACAAAAGTATTTAAAAACAACATATTTCAACTGAGTAGTAGCCTATATAACTTTAATCTGCATTTGCTATATGGGAATCTGAATCTGAATAAATCGGAACCGCTTCACTGAGATTTGGCTAAAATGCTATTACTATAATTTAGTTTTTAGTTTTTACTATTTTTAAAGACCTTCAAGGGCTGCATTGTTTACTAATTATTTTTTATTTTATTACCATTAAGACCTGTGGTGAGGGTTAGTTTATCTTTTTGTTTTTGTTTACGTTCTTGTATGAGGTTGTGGTGAGGAGTAGGGTTTATGTTTATTTTGTTGTTTATTTTTGTGTTTTTGTTTGTTTCAGTTGCGCTTGTGGTTGCACTTTATTTTGTTTTTCTTTTTTGTTTGAGTTAGCGTTTGTGTTTGAGTTTGTGTTTGCCTTTGGCTTTAATAGTGGTTGGTTGTGGTTAGGGTTAAGATTAGAGTTAGAGTTATGTGTTGCAATTGTGTCTGCGTTTGCGTTTGCGTTTTGTTTTGTTATGTTTTTGTTTTTTAATGCGTTTGTTTTGTGTTTTTGTAGTGGCTGGTTGTGGTTAGCGTTCATTTGTGAGTTAGGGTTATATGTGATTTTCTCAAACGTTCATATTCCCATATACATTTAATTGAAACACGGGCAATACTGTGAGGTGGGGGAGGGGGTGGGCTTGTATGGGCTTGTATGTAATGTTTTCAGCTTTGATCTTATGTGTCTATTTTAGCACTCCACATGCAAAAGCTGTAAATCCAAGAAATTTCGTCTGTTTGGTTATTAAGACCGTCGACAAAGTGCATTTAAGACTCGATGATTTAGATGTTCCAGATACGTAAGTTTTTTTGGCATTATTTTAGTAACCAAACCTCGATTGTTAAACTTTAGTTTTTTTTAAACATTGACGTATGCAGGGGTGGTGCAGGTGGTGCGGTCGCTCCTCCCTGCAAGCATTGTTGGGGGGGGGGGAGGAATTGAAAACTAATTAAAACAAGCAAGACTAGATGGGCTGAATAACTAATTAATTAATGAAAGGAAATAGATGCGCATATCTCGAGCTTGGCTCCTGTCCTAATATAGAGGTTAACGAGCTTACCTATTCTGTGGACCTCGGCATCCAAGGTGTAGTGTGGTCAGCACTATCTCCAGCCGCCTTGATTTCTCTAACTTCAGTCATGTGCAGAGGCGTAGGTAAGGGGGGGGGGGCGACAGCCCCCGGCAACAACCGTAGGGGGGCGCCAAAGTAGGTAGAAAAAAAAATTTAAAGCTCATTTTAAGTTGTAGTTTTGAATTCTAATTAGTTACAGTTAAGAAATTTAACAGCTACAAGCCTTTACATACTGATTTAACTGTTCCCTACCTTGATTGTGTAAAAATGTTACCCTTAAGAAACAGCGACCGGCAAAAACCGCTTTCTATTTTATTCTTGACCATGGGGGGGGGGGGGGGGGCTTTTTTCTGAATAAATTTGGAAGTATTTACACTGGATTGGTGAGAAGATAACCTTTATCACTTATAAAAGAAACCAATTGTATAAAAGCGTATTGTACATTGTGTAACTGTAAAAAATGTCAGTGACATTAAAACCCGCTCTACCAACTTTGTTCAAGTTGGGGGGGGGGGGGCGCTTTTTCCCCAACAAAAATCGCAAGGATTGTAATTTACATTATGTAACCGTAAAAACATGTTAGTGAAGTTAAAACCCGCTCTAACAACTTTGTCCAAGGTGGTCGGGGGGGGGGGGCGCTTTTTCCCCAACAAATATCGCAAAGATTTGTACTTGATTGGTGAGTAGATAATTCTTTTAGCACTTAAAAAACAAAAACAAAAAAACATTTGTATTAAAGCGTATTGTGTAACAATAAACTAAGAAAAAAGTTGTGTGTGTATGGGGGTCGTCAAGGTAAATGAGAAGGATTTACACCGGAACGGTGAGTAAATGAATCGTTTAACAGTTAGAAGAGAAACCAATTGCATTAACGTGTAAATTACGATTTTTCGTTAACAAGTTTTGATAAAGAACGCGATTAATTCCTTTTACGATGTTTTTAGGATTCTCTCAACAAGAGAGATAAGATACTTTTACTGGATTGCATTACATCTTGCCTGGATCCACCGTTTTAAAGAGAAATAAAAATCAGAGATTCTTGTGTCGCTATATGATCAGTAAAATAGCATACGTTCGGAGCTGGTGGGTGAAGGCGATAATCTTCGACCGAAATTTTAAGAGCTAAGAAGAATATAACACGGCTTTCTATATTTAAAATTACCTAATAAACCTATTTACTAAAATATTAGTATAGTGTACCGAATAGATCAGGTTTTTAAATTTCTTGTTTCATAACAAGTCCGAATACTGCAATTTTCAAATAGTTAACTAAGGTAAACTGGTACAATACGACGATTGCTACTGCTTTGTTACTTATTCAGCCTTACTGATAATGTAAAATTGTAATATACTAGTATCGAATTTGTTCCAAAAGTGGACCAAATAAGCTTGCACCTTTTACAAACTACATTCTACTAAAGCAGTGGGGTTCTTAACCTTTTTGGAGGTAACAAACCCCATCAGTTTCATATACGCATTTACAAAACCCTTCTCAATATTTCTATTGATCACACTGAATCAGCTCGTGAATCATATGAGTGGTTATGTGTCTTGACCTCCGCCGAAGCCCTGAGACTCACTCACCGAACCTCAGGGGTTCGATCAAACCCATGTTACCGAACCACTGTTCTAAACTCCTCTGATTTTCTTCTTTTTATTCGTTTCGGCTTCCTTAGGAGAATAGGGTAGGCAACACTTCGTCAACTCAGTTGATTTTTATGAATATAGAACCCTAATAATCTAGCCTCCACCATCTCTCAAACGATTTCCTTCATGACCTTTTTGTCTCCTCCTCTTCCTCTTTCCCTGTGGACTTCACACCAGCACCTGCTTAGTGATGCTATGTACTGTCTTTCTTATGAAGTGTTGTAACCAACGCCTTGTCGTTGCTCTTAATGCAATCTCCACTTTCTGTTACCTAGTTTTATATTGAGCTATAGATTCTGATTGATTTTTGTTAAAAATGCATTTGAATTCCACATTGGTTTAGAGAAAGTTAAAAAGCATTTCATCGCTGCTGATTCTAATCTAAATGTCATGCTACTATCAAATAAAACGGTTATTACTGCCTCTTCAACCATTTAAATTTGTTCTGCATTGGTTGTTGAATATGTGCGAGAAGGTAGTACTTGTCGCGAAATCCGAGACTACGCAATGTTGTGTCCGTTGGATTCCATTTTTTTCCTCGAGCTTCTTTTATTATATAATCAACCAGTCAACGAAATACATATGTAGTATTCCAATGTGCATAATAAATGTTTCTGATACCTTGCTATTGTGTATCACTTATAAGACCTTATTCTAACAAACGCATAATCCAAATATGTAACATTTATAAACAGAGACTGTTCCAAAGATAGAATATAAAAGACAGAGTCTAAACAAATTAGCGCCTGCTATAAACTACAGTTTAAATACAAATCAAGCTTATTTGTTTATGACGTTATTCGTAATTTTTTTTAAAGAATCACGCATCTTAAGGGGAATTAAATTGGCTTCAAATAAAATTTTAAGGAATGAAAATCATACACCGTAAATCTGTTCCGGACTGTCGTTATATATATATATATATATATATATATATATATATATATATATATATATATATATATATATATATATATATATATATATATATATATATATATATGAGATAGACTTTGGAACCGTAAAAGTAAACTCATAACATGTCGTGCTTTTTACTTGCATCAGTGTCTTATTATAAATCATATAGTAGGGTTTCTTTATATAACGACTTGTGTTTGTGTTGTGTTCGTGTTGTGTTGAGTTTTGTTCAGTTTCCAAGTTGGTACATTTTACAAAGATTTACCGTGGTATATATATATATATATATATATATATATATATATATATATATATATATATATATATATATCCTATATGTATATCCTATATATATATATATGTAGCCTATTTATAGGCTATATATATATATAGGCTATATATATATATATATATATATATATATATATATATATATATATATATATATATATAGTCTATATATGTATATATATATATATATATATATATATATGTATATATATGTATATATATATATATATATATATATATATATATATATATATATATATATATATATATATATATATATATATATATATATATATATATATATATATATGGCGCCTTCGACACCACTGGTTCTTAATAACTCCATGATTAGGATGCAGTGGAATAGTGTGATTGGAGCCCCATATGAAATTGGTAATATTGGAGTGACTCCTGGCACACATATGGTATATGGCACACAGCTTATCACGTTCGGCTGTTACATCTACGGTCTGGCTCCGTACTACAGCTACATGAACCCTGCAGGATTTATCACTTCGGAAATAAACGAGGTAGGTCATTTTATCACATTGGCAATCATCGGTCTAGGTCATTTTTAGATATCAGCAATCACGGCAAAATCCTTCCTACAATACTGTTGATATTTTCATTGGGAACGCAGCTGTCTTAAGACGTTTACATTGTAAGCTTTGTTGACACTTACAGTCTTTTTTTTGTTGGTTTCTAGATAGTGTAATATTTTAGATTTATCTAAAATTATTCAACTCTTCTTTAAAAATGAAGTGAACATCTGAACACTTTATTATAGAAACATTATAATTTAAAAGTTTTTAAAAAATGTGCAGGTTTCTGCTTTCATTTTATAGTACTTTCTATGTGTTTGCTCGAAATTGTACTTCATTTCTTGATACCTCACACCTCCTGGGTTTAATCTGTGTCCAGCAATGTATTCCATCATTCAATTCATCACATAATGTATGTTTGATATGTTGTCTAGCAATGTATTCCATCATTCAATTCATCACACAATGTATCTTTTATATCTCATCCAGAAATGTGCTGTGCTGCATCATTCAATTCATTACATAATGTATGTTTGATATATTGTATAGCAATGTATTCTATCATTCAATTCATCACATAATGAATGTTTAATACTTCATCCAGCAATGTATTCCATCATTCAATTCATCACACAATGTATGTTTGATATCTCGTCCAGAAATGTGCTGCATCATTCAATTCATTACATAATGTATGTTTGATATATTGTCTAGCAATGTATTCTATCATTTAATTCATCACATAGTGTATGTTTGATATCTCATCCAGAATTGTGCCGCATCATTCAATTAATCACATAATGTATGTTTAATACTTCATCCAGCAATGTATTCCATCATTCAATTCATCACATAATGTATGTTTGATATGTTGTCTAGCAATGTATTCCATCATTCAATTCATCACATAATGTATGTTTGATATCTCATCCAGAATTGTGCCGCATCATTCAATTCATCACATAATGTATGTTTAATACTTCATCCAGCAATGTATTCCATCATTCAATTCATCACATAATGTATGTTTGATATGTTGTCTAGCAATGTATTCCATCATTCAATTCATCACATAATGTATGTTTGATATCTCATCCAGAATTGTGCCGCATCATTCAATTCATCACATAATGTATGTTTGATATGTTGTCTAGCAATGTATTCCATCATTCAATTCATCACATAATGTATGTTTGATATCTCGTCTAGCAATGTTTTCTATCAGTCATTTCATCACATAATGTATGTTTGATATCTCGTCTAGAAATGTATTCCATCATTCGACAATATAAAGAATGGAGATCTCATAGATAATGACTGTGACCAAAGGATCGATGAAGAAATCAAAGATGGCATAGGTAATGTAAGGGTCAAGATAAAATATAAAATGGTTTATGAGATCAAAGATGGCATAGGTAATTTAAGGGTCAAGATAAAATATAAAATGGTTTATGAGATCAAAGATGGCATAGGTAATTTAAGGGTCAAGATAAAATATAAAATGTTTTATGAGATCAAAGACGGCATAAGTATTGTTAATGGTAAGTAAAATTACAAAATAGAGATCGAAGATGGCATAGGTAATGTAACGTTCAAGATGAAAGATAACATAGGTGACGTAGCCATCAATATAGTAAAAGACAATACGATTAGTGTTAATGTGGAGGTAATAGCTTCTGAATCGACATAATACTAATTTTTGATCAACACTAACAAAGTATTTATAATTCACTAACCTTGGATTGACCTTAACGCTTACAGTGGGTATAACAGCAAAAGCGTACACACCCCTTATTAATGTTCTATAGATTAGGTCTAACGAGAATACAATAGCGTTAGATAAATGGCAGCTCATTTAACATGTTATCAATGCTAGTCAGCCGAGGCCCAGTTCATTTTTAGATTTAAAAAAAAATTCTATGCTTTAAACTAATACATATAAGGCGGGGCTATGATTAAATAAACTACTTAGGAGACCAAATTATGAATTTTAAAATAAAACAACTATTTAGCAGGTCAAACTATTATTTCACCAAATAGTTAAGCTAATATTTGAAAAAAAAAATCATAACAGCAGACCAGATTATGAATTTTAAAACTTATTAGCCGGGTAGACTATGATTTAAAAATAAAAGACTTAGCAGGCCAAACTATAATTTTAAAAACTACTTAGATAGCCAGATTATGCAACATCACAATATCTAGGTGTAGGTGTAAGTGTAAGTGTAGGTGTAGGTGTTGTATATTATAGGGATAGAGATAGAGGTTAGAAAAATTAAATAGGCTAGTGACAAACTTAAGGAAATGAATAGAGATAAGATCAAGGCAACGACATCAACAAAAACAAGAATAAGGATAGCGATAGGGATAATAATGAAAACAATTAAAATAAAATTGGTGACGGTGACGACGATAACGACGACGACGATCATTATAATGATTAAGTTTTTAAAGCTGGAAAAGATGTAGTCTTATTTCAGAATGAAATCAGACAATTAGTTCACGCCCCCTAATCATATTTTATCGGTAAAATACCATTTAATACAGCTTAAAGCAATACTTGGTATTTAGCGTTAAATATAGACAAAAAATGCCATGTCTTTTCTTATTTTGGTTGACGGCAAAAATTTTACCGTCTTGTACAAAAAACATATACAAATATCTATAACATTTTTAAAAATAATCAAGTCAACAATATTTTCTCTTAAACAGGTCAAACAAACATTAACAATGTCTATAATTTAGAGTGAAAACAATTAATCATTTTTCATGCAGAGGAGGTCATTTAAAGGGAAATAACAGTAGTGCTTACTTTGCTGTGGAATCTTATTTTGATTTTCGTTTTTTTTCAAAAATTAAGATTAAAATTATAATACTATGTTTATTATTTTCCGATCAATCGGCATAGAGCTTTATGGTAACAAAAAGATTTCATAAAAAACGTTTTAATAACAAGCTTTTATGTACTAATGCACTAAAAAGTAGAAAATAGATTATAGACTACTATTTAAATAACTATAAAGAAAAGATAGGGTCACTTTAGTATCTATTGGATACCTTTACTAATATTTAAAAAGAGACCCAGGGGAATAGAAGTAAGTCCGACGAAATATATAAGAAGGGTTTCATCCATGCATTACCAATCCTATAAGTGAGTTATTAAAATGTAAACAATGCCTGCGCTTGGATCATAAATATCGGGACAGGGTTTACCTACACTGTAATAGATTGAAATAATTGTGAGGTCAAGGGAACTCACTCTTCTGTATTAGTTATATTTATAATATTGTTATCTTGAGTGATGTCCCTTGTGTACTTCCTTCCGTCCTCTCTGTGTGTTACCATCGTGGTAGTTAGACCCATTAAATGTGTTATATACAACCACAGGCTTCTGTCGTCAATCTATTATAACTGGCGACGAAGGATAAACATCTACTAGAAAGAGCACCTACTTACGCAAAAAAGAGGTTTGCTAGAGCTTATTAGCTAATTATTTCTAGAATTATGGCGCTGTATGGCCAAATAAAAGAATTTGATGCGAATGATGAAATCATTCAAGATTACCTAGAGAGGTTAAGCTTTTACCTAGAAGCTAACAACGTGACGATAGAAGCCAAAAAGAGAGCTGTTTTGTTAACAGTCATAGGGCCTCAACAATTTAGGCTACTAAAGGACTTATGCACACCAGCTAGTCTAACTACCAAGAGCTTTAACGAGCTGAGCAAATTGCTAACAGACCACCATGCGCCTACCCCATCAAAGTTTTTATGTAGAGCTAGATTTGACAGTAGGACTCGTCAACCAAACGAGTCAATATCAGAATATGTTGCTGCTTTACGTCATTTAAGTAGATTCTGTGAATTTGGAGAAACGCTGTCTGACAGACTATGTGAAAAGTTTGTGACAGGTGTAAACAGCCCTGATATTCAAAGAAAGTTGCTGCTCGAGTCAGATCTAAAATTAGAAAAAGCAATACAACTTGCAACTTCATTCCAGCAGTCATCAGATGCGGCGAAATCTCTAACGCCTTCAGGGATCCATGCAGTAAACAGCAGGTTAGTCAATAAACATCAACCCCATCAGAGCATTCCAACTTATGCTAAACACCCTGCTCGTTCAAGTCCTAGATCTAAATCTAGTAATAATTATCAAAAATGTCATCGATGCAAAGGTCCCCATGCATCTCATCGGTGCAAGTTCAAGTTAGCAACTTGTTATAAGTGCGGTAAGCAAGGTCACATTGCCAAGGCCTGCTTCACAAAGTCTTCGTCTGTTGCTAAATCTAGCCAGTCAAGACAGTACCGCAACCAAAAGCAGCACTATGTTAACTCTCACCAAGACTACCTAACCCAACCAATGAACCACTCTACCTGTGAAAATGCTCAAATTGATTTGCAGCCGGATTTCAACCTGTTCTCTGTTAAATCAATAAGTCATGCTCCCATCAATGTACAAGTTAATATCAACGGTAAGAGCATCAGCTTCCAACTTGACACTGGAACATCTCTAACAGTCATAACAAAGAAAGATTTTGACGCTGTCAAAGGAGAATCAGTGCCTCTACAGCCGTGTCACAAGTGTCTAACAACATACACTGGTGACAATGTTCCGGTAATAGGAGAGTGTATGGTTCATGTAAGTTATAATGGTCAAAGTGTTAAACTTCCTCTTCTTGTGGTTGAAGGAAATGGACCGCCATTACTAGGTAGGAACTGGTTAAGTGATCTTAAGTTAAATTGGGAGAGTATTTGTTCATTGAAGAATGTAAAAGAATCTAGTCTTACTTCACTAGATAAAGTTATATCTGAAAATAAATGTGTTTTTGGTAACTCAGGTTTACTAAATGATAGAACAGTGAAGTTAAGCATTAAAGATACAAATCCAAGATACTGCAAAGCTAGAGTTCCACCTTATGCAATGAGGAACAAAATTGAAAATGAGCTAAGTAGATTGGAATCTAATGGCATTATAAAGAAGGTAGACTATTCCGATTGGGCGACACCCATTGTGCCAGTGTTAAAGAAGGATGGTTCTATAAGAATTTGTGGAGATTATAAAACTACACTGAATAAGCAAATAGAGCTAAATAGGTACCCTATACCTAACATTGAGGAAATTTCTTTGAATTTGGCAGGAGGAGACAAATTCACTGAATTAGACTTTAGTCATGCTTACACTCAACTAGAACTGCATCCAGATTCAAAAGTCTATACGACAATAAACACACATAAAGGACTCTACCAATATGAAAGACTATGTTTTGGCATATCATCTAGCCCTGGAATTTTCCAAGCTGTCATGGACAGTATTTTTAAGGACATTCCAAATGTTTGTGTGTACTTTGACAATGTGTACATAACTGGTAAGAATGACACTGAACATCTTAAAACACTTGATAAAGTATTAAAAATTGTTGGTGAAAAAGGTTTAAAGATAAACAAAGATAAATGTCAATTCATGCTGACAGAAATTAGTTTTCTTGGTTATATATTAAGCAAGCAAGGTATCAGACCTCAACCTGAGAAAACAAAAGCCATTAAAGAAGCACCCAAACCTGAAAATACCCAACAACTAAGAGCTTTTTTGGGCTTAATAAATTACTATGCAAAGTTCATAGGGAATCTGTCTGGTAAACTATCACCACTGTACAAGCTGCTACAGAAAAATGCAACTTGGCACTGGGGTAAACAGCAAGAAGCTGCTTTTAATACAGCAAAAGAGGCTTTGTCTGCTGACACCTTACTAACTCACTATGACCCAGGGAAAAGACTTATATTAACATGTGATGCTTCACCAGATGGTGTAGGAGCAGTCTTGTCCCACATGGATGAGAAGGGTGACAGACCCATTGCTTTTGCCAGTAGATCTTTGAACCAGGCTGAGAAAAATTATTCTCAGTTAGATAGGGAAGGCTTAGGCATCATTTTTGGTGTTAAGAAATTTCATAAGTTTCTGTTTGGTAGGAAGTTCACCATCTTTACAGATCATAAACCATTGCTAGGTTTATTTGGAGAAAACAAAACCCTACCTGAGCATGCCTCTCCAAGAATTCAAAGATGGGCTATCACACTAACTGCATACAATTATGAATTGAGATACAAACCTGGATCTGAGAATAGTGCAGATAGTCTTAGCAGATTACCTTTAAAAAACCAAAGCCTGAGCTATGTACCAGAAGATGTATTTGTTCTCTTCACTATCATGGATAACTCCAATATAAATGTGAATGATATTAAAAGAGAAACACAAAAAGATGAGTGCTTAATAAAAGTATATGAGTACTGTAAGAATGGTTGGCCTGAAGAGTCAGTGAATGATGACTTAAGGCCATATTAAATAAGAAATAAAAACCTTTGTGAAGATAATATAAAAGATGGAGAAGATGCAGTCCATCATCAGTCAGAGTTGCCTAAACAAAGTATTTGTAACTTAATAAATGATTATGGTGATATGGCAATTTCAAATGTTTTAATTTAAAGAGAATACATTAGTAAGAAGGAATGTGATCATCAAACAACTTTGCTAACATCATTAGCACTTACAGAAACTAAAAGGGTAACATCAAAAGAAAAAAAAAAAAAAGAATTTTTGCCATTTAATACTTTCAGATGCCAATTCAAAAAGTAAATCATGACAGAACACCCATTGAAAGAGAATTTGGTGTTAATAAGAATGTGTATCTAAGAAATTATGGGAGAAAGGAAAAATGGATACCAGGTCAAATTGTTCAATGTACAGGACCTGTGTCTTATAAAGTTAAAAATAACTTGTGCAGATAATAAGTGTGAATCTGTCAATCCCACCAAATCTGAACAGTTCACACCAACTCAGTTTGTTCCACAACCAAGTTCTGTTGATATGAGTGAACCAAGTTGTCTGGAGTCAGAAAATGTAAATTCTGGAGTTAATGATTTAAATCCTAGACCTCCTGAGATAGAGAATCCAAATGGTCAGAATATTGAGTCACCAAATCAAAGGCCACTGAGAAGGTCAAACAGGACAATCAAAGTCCCAAATAAGTTAGACCTATGATTCTAAAGGTCAAAAGGACTTTGACATTATTGTTTTGTATTTTGATTATGTTGTAGCATATTGTGCATTGTTTGTAAGGATGTAATCTACCATAGTGTTCATGTTACAATATAATTGGTGATTTTAGGATACTATCAATTGTTCTATTGAGAGATGTGTTATTGTGTTCTAAGGGTAAAGGGATGTAATAGATTGAAATAATTGTGAGGTCAAGGGAACTCACTCTTCTGTATTAGTTATATTTATAATATTGTTATCTTGAGTGATGTCCCTTGTGTACTTCCTTCCGTCCTCTCTGTGTGTTACCATCGTGATGTAGTTAGACCCATTAAATGTGTTATATACAACCACAGGCTTCTGTCGTCAATCTATTATATACACTACCGCATGAAAACCTTGAGTGTACATTAATCACTCACCGAAATAATATGGTAGAACACACTTCGGTGACCGCCCATGTGTCAAAGACGTAGAGGGGCGCACTAGGCGCTTAGGCGCGACTTACCACCCCTGGCTCCTTAGCATCCTGTTAACAATGATGCAGATTGCGTCAACCTCTAAAGCGACACAGAGAACAGGATTTGTTAGTTAACACGTAAAAAAATATTTGACGTGTTTTAAACATCAGTGTGACTGATGCAATATGTTAGCGTTACTAATGGTCTATTCTTAGATGCTCGATTTCAATTTCTGATTGGATTATCTAAAAATAGATGCTAATTGCATCATTCGCAAAGTGGCGAAACTGTTTGGATTTTTTTACGGACAAAAAGAAACATCCAAGTTAATAATCTAACCCTGGTTAATTTTTCTGATTATTAAAATAAAACGTATTACATGGCCCTCAGCAGCCCATGTGAGCCTTTGGGGCCGAAACAGACATTTTTATTTGCAGCCTAATCGCACCCTACCAGTTGCGCCAGAGGATACGCCTGATTCAATTTAGTGAGCGCTTGTAACGCCCCATCTTATCCATTGTCGATCACACTATTTAGACCAAACGTAGTCACCATAGCGCTCACGGGAAAGACCAGGGCGCCAAATCGCATCCTGCCGGGGGGAGGGGTGCCAATGCAAAATTAAATCCCCCCGCCCCCACCCCTATTCCCCCCTCCCACCCCAGAAACCTTCTCGGGAGTATTCATCAACTCCCTAAAGTTTTATGGCACCGGGATAAATTGCGTCGAACCGCAATCGTCTTTTATTTTTATATACCGTATTTTGAGAAAAATCCCACCATTCCGTGGCGCCGCCCTTGCGAAATTAAAAAAAAAGATTTTTTTTACAGAACCCTTCCCTGGAGTGTTCTAATCAACTCCACAAAGTTTGATGGCGATCGGATAAACGCTGTGAAACCGCAATCGACGTTTATTTTTATATACCGTTTATAGAGAAAATCGCACCCTCCTGTGGCGCCACCCTTGGGAAATTAAAAATGCTTTTTTACAGAAGCCTTCCCTGGAGTGTTCTAATCAAGTCCCTGAAGTTTGATGGCTATCGGGTGAACGTTGTGAGACCGCAATCGACTTTTATTTTTATATATCGCATATAGAGAGAAAACAAATCGCGCGCTAACAGGGCGCCATCCCTGGGAATTAAAATTTTTTTTAGCGCAGAAACCTCCCCAGGAATATTCTCAACAACTTCCCAAAGTTTCATGGCGATTGTGTAAACGGTGTCACTGCAATTCTCTTTTATTATTTTTATATACGGTATATTGAGAAAAATCGCACCCTCCTGTGGCGCCGCCCTCGTCGAGGGCTTTGAGTGAAACCAACAGGTTTGTCCTACGGCCTAGCCAATTACCTAAGAGCATGCCAAAAATTAGCCTGATGTGCAGAGGGTAAGTACCCTGAAATCTTTGTTGAAATTGCCCTCTGTTTTTCCCATAAAATACAAAGATTATATAGGGAAACACAACTGGTCAGTTTTGACCACTTTACGAAGTTTTCCCAGATATGCCGAGTCTTTTGTGACATCCCTTGGTGTTCTCCTACCACCTCACAAAATATCAAGGGGGAGGGGTCGTTCGGCAAGAAATGTTTTCGTTATATAGCTCAAATCAGGAGATTTTCAATCAACGTCATGTTTTAGCCCTCGTCGAAGGCTTTGAGTCAAACCGTCAGTTTTCCCTAAAGGCCAAGCCATTTACCTAGGTGTTTGCAAAAAATTAGCTAGATCTACAAACGGTAAGCGCCTTGAAATCTTTGTTGAAATTACCCTCTGATTTTCACATAAAATACAAAGATTATATAGGTAAATACAACTGGTCAGTTTTGACCCACTTCCAGATTTTTTCCCGGATATGCCGAGTTTTTTCTGACACATTAGGCGATCTCCGACCACCTCACAAAATATCAAGGGGGTCGCTCGGCAAACGTTTTTTTTTTCGTAAAATAGCCCATATAAGGCACCGGTCAGTCGAGGTCAATTTTGACCCCCGCTTCCTGGACTTTTCGGCCAACCGTCACCGGCCTTTGTGTTCTATCGCCTGAAGGCACCATCGTGCCAAATTTGACGCGCCTGCGGCGCCGGGAAGTGCCCTATCGGGTACCCGAGCACTTTGCTTTATATATAGATTAATCAATAAACCAATAAATATTCATTTCTTCAACAGATAATGACAACGACAATTTGATCGACGAAGACCTCGCAAAACCACCAAGAAGTACGTATCATTACATGTTTAACAAATAAAGCAATTGAATATTATAACATATTTATATAATCCAGTTGTATATATATATATATATATATATATATATATATATATATATATATATATATATATATATATATATATATATATATATATAGGACATATATTATTATATAAGCTCATATTCTTTTTATACTTTTAGATGTATATACACTAAGTATACTTCCTAGGTTTGTATAGGTTTTTGAAAACACATTTACCTAAAAACGTACCCTTTACATAAGATGTGTAATAATTACTATTTAAAAATTGTAATATTGCTAAATTAAAACTTACATTCTAATCGTAAAATTAATTTTTAGCGCAATTTCCATTCTGGAGAATTGCGTTTATTAACCCGTCTTTTCTGGATGGATGAATGGATGGATGGATGGATGAATGTATGAATGTGTGTCCGTAGCTTTAAGTCGTATCTCCTCCTCAACGAAGCAATATCGAGGACTAGTTCCAAAAGCAATTATGTTAAGCAAGTTACGAGGATGAGCATAGACCATAAAAATTCCGGGTATCTTTCATGGATTTCCCGGAAAAGCCAAAAAACCTCGAAAAAATGCAGTTTTTGGCCCATATCTCGGCAACCAGACAACTTAGCGACTTGAAACATGTACCAATCGATTCCTGCCATAATTTAGAACAATATTGCCGAAGAAAGTTTTCAAAAATTTTTTTTGAATTAATTAAAATTTTGACCGAATTAGTAGGCATTTTTTCCAACCACACCACACGCGTCATCACGTTCAATAGCTGCGCCATCACGTTCAATGGCTGCGTCATCACGTTCAGTAGCTAGGCGCGCAATGGTTTTTAGTCATGTAACTCTATTGTAAATAAAACATGTATTTTAACCAATGGTCTTACTAACCCTGCTCTTGATTTACGATTCGACAGAGCTATTTTTAGATAACATAAGGAAATTGCGCTTAAATGTCACTAGACTTTTTAATTAACTTGTTTTATATAATAACTAAGAATGTTCCTACTTTTTTGCTAATCTCATGTAATAAATTTCGGTGGGATATGGTGGGCTGAATAAAGAGAGGATGGGGTGGGGTATGGCTAGCCTGCTATACCGAAAGTCTCTAGTTCTGATCCTTCGATCCAAGTCTCAACGACGTCTTTGTGGGTCAGCTGCTTTGTCATATTTCATACACTTTACTGCCTAACTATTTCTAATATAGTGGAGGACTGATCATCGTATATAATATAAAATTTTCAGGTGGTATACCGGGAGTGTTTTATGAAAGAGGTGGGTTTAGAATCTCCTCAAAGTGCTGAACCCATTGGTCTCTCTGTTCTATTTTACGGGTCTACGACAAATTCCCGAAAGACACTTGCCCGAATGCCGTTTGCCCGAAAGCCGATTTCCCGAATGGACACTTGCCCGAATGCAACGGATTTCGGGCAAGTGGCATTCGGGCATTTGTCGCATTCGGGCAAGTGTCCATTCGGGCATTTGTCGCATTCGGGCAAGTGTCCATTCGGGCATTTGTCGCATTCGGGCAAGTGTCCATTCGGGCATTTGTCGCATTCGGGCAAGTGTCCATTCGGGCGTTTGTCGCATTCGGGCAAGTGTCCATTCGGGAAATCGGCCTTCGGGCAAACGGCATTCGGGCAAGTGTCTTTCGGGAAAACGTCCGGCTCCCCTATTTTACTTATCCGTATGTTTCCTTCTATATCTGTTACTGATTTGTTGCTCTGCTTTAGTTTCTGCCTCCTCTGTGATTATCATGAATGAACTTCTTTTGTACTCTTCCTATTTCCTGACCGTGAGATTTTGTTCCCAATATTGTGTTCTAGGGTTTATTTTCTCTTCATCTTCCTCGAATTGATTCATCTTCTATTTTACTTCTTTCCTATTTTCGATCTTGGACTATGTTTCTGATATGTACATGCTGACTCTCATTGTTCCTGTATTCCTAGCCATTGTTGATCTACAGTTTCTTCTACGTTACTGCAGAATGATTCATACGTATTTTATGCTCTTTATATATATTCTATTGTATGTTCTATTGAATTTAAAGTGTATTTTACCTGCTCGGCCCCTTAAGGATTTTTGCTTTGTTCTAATGTTGCCACGACGAGTTAGTAGTCTGATGTTGCGTCGGCCCGTCGTCTCACCTTAACATCCAGTAAACATCATCTCGATGTTTTGGAAACTGTGATATGGTCTATTTGGTCTTTGTTTTGCCATCTGGTGACATATATATAATAGTGTGTATATTATTACGAGAGAACTCCTCCACCACCCCCTTCCCCCCCCCCCCCCCCCCATCCCCTATAATTAAATAATTAATTGCACAAAGTCATCAAAGAGTTCCCTATTTTCATTTATTACTTCAACTCTGTTTTTTTTTCTATTATGAGCTCCCGATCTTTATTTTCTATTCCCACTTTGGGGTTCGAATCTCACTTTATTATTATTATCGTTATATATTTTTTGGTGATTGGTCAATTATAGACAGGATGGTGCTGCAGAATTCGTCTTTCTTTTCCTTTTATGCAGCATTTGTCGGTGCATAGTACTGAATTAAAGCGGTTTTCCTTCTGTTGGCATCGAAACAAACAAATATAAGAAGTGGCGAGACTTCGTTCGATGCTATCATACCATTAATATTTGGAGTCATCATTTGTGCTGAACTTTGAGTGTGTCTATAGTCTATCTCCTCATAAACTGAGAAGACAAGAGTCTCTCATGTAATCAGCCTGGCTTGGCCACTGCCATTCTATCGTGTCTCGCTTAATCCTAGAACTTTGACTGTACCTTCTCAGTTCCGGTGCGAAATGTGTTGATCTGCTGCGTTTTATATAGCGTTCTGTTCTCAGGGTCACTTATCCGGCTTTGATCTTGGGAGTTTGAAGGTGTGTCAGCCGGTATCTTCCATGATGTTGTAATTAGTATGCATTAAGTGCTCTTCTAAAGTGGAACCTCCACGACCAAGTTGCTTTAAATTGGTGTATTTGCAGATTTGTAACTTGAATATTTTACGAAGCAAGGTTGCCAGCACATCGCTTCTTTTTCAATCGGGCTTGGGAGTTTTATACACAAACACACACACACACACACATACACACACACACACACACACACATATATATATATATATATATATATATATATATATATATATATATATATATCAGCCACAAATACAATGGCACACAAATAACCATAATCGTTTTTAAGATTTTGTTTATTTTGAACTATTTTGTTTTAGTATATCGATCTATCAATCAATTATACCTTAACCCCTATTGAGATAGTTGGGGAAACACAGTTGCCTTTCTTATAAATTTCTGTCCTCTGCTGCCCAGCAACAAGCAGCCCTGTCCAATCTTTGATGTCCTCCACACAATGATCCCTTCGCCTCCGTATTCTTCTCCCTACTGTCAACGTGCCCTGCATTCTTGTTTTAGATAGGCCGTCGGTTTGTCTGCAGAGTTTCTTCCAGTCATCGCCCCCCCCCCCCACCCCCCGAAAAAAGTCTACCCACCCGAACAAAATGAAATTTACATAGAAAATATATACTTTTAACAGTGTCCCCCCCCCCTCCCGAAAATGTCAAGTGCCCCCTCCCCAGAGAAAAAATTCTGGAAGAAACACTGTTCGTCTGACATTAAAGAAACCATTTTAATTGAATTAAAAATATGCATTATAAATATTTATTTATCTCAACTCGCAGATTAAATAATAGATCATTTACAGCACATCTAAATTATGTACTTAAGTTGATCATACTGAATTTGTATCTTATCAGGGAATGGAGGTTGGGGAGAATGGTTGGAGTGGGAATGTGTTACTGGTTGTCTTAACTATAATTTTAGGCGAGTCAGGTAAGACCTTTGATTGCGAATGTAAATTAAAAAACAAACAGTTTTTCAAAAAAATAGGTTTGAAAGCATGGAATCCTGTTAAATCCATAGATTGTGTGACAATCCTGCACCAGAAAACGAAGGGGACTATTGTCCTGGAAACGAGTTTGACGTAAAAGGGCAAAACGAACGAGATTGTGGTTTTGGGAAAATGTGTCCGACAGGTTCGTATGAAATGTGTTTCAAAAATACAGTTAGACGTATTTTATCCTCTATGCATACATTTTAATACACAACCCTCTATGCATTTCGAAAACCATTTAATCCCCCCCCCATTGTTTTCATATTTATGCTACTATTTACTGTAAGGTGGGACATTAGATATATTAAAAGTAGCTTGAGTACTCGGATGGAGGTTGGCGGGCAGCTACAAGGAAATGCTGGTGGCTTTCTTTGCTCTCAAGCAAGGTTTCTTATAATAATGTTATTATTTAGGTTTTTTAATTTAACATGATTTCACATACACGCTTTACACATCACAGATCATAAAAACTAGCGTTGATTTACTTTTATAATTGAATGTGTTAGACTGTCCAGTTGGGAGGTGGCAATACGGCTGTGAAAAATCGTGTGAGAACTGTGAGCAGGACTGCGATAAATTCAATGGGAACTGTACCACATGCAGGCCTGGTTTTACAGATGCAGCGTCAGGATGTAGCCAGAGTGAGTCACACGAACCTTAACATTTTCTTACTGTAGTGTTGGTATCAGTCACCCAAATTTTAACTCCCCCCCCCCCCCCCACCGTTGTTATGCAGAAAGTCCCCCGAAGTTTAACATTCTCATAACGTGAAGTTAATGCTACGGTCATTTAAATAATACATGCACACCTGTGTTTTGCCACAGTGTGGAACTCGAAATCTGCATTTTAGAGGATAGAAAAATAATGGCACATAAAAATGAACCAGGAGTGATGTCCCCTAAACTTTCGCGAATATTCTCATACAACACTACTTTTAAAAATAGAATAGAATTTCGTAGAAAAAAGCAATTGCGCACCAGGTGAACGCCAAACAATCTATGTATAATAATGCGGAATATTATTAGTACTTTATGAATTCACATGCGTTTTTCTTTTTTGAGAAATCTTTTACATAAATATGTGATTGAATGTGGATTATTTGATAAATGGTGATATGTGTGGGTTGTGCTATGTAAGGTAGTGGTATGTGGGTCGGGGGCAATGGATTTTAACGTATATTTGTAGAGTGTAGTGTTTTTGCCTAATGGTTTTGCGATAATGTGGTTCAAGTTGTTTGTTGGCGTTCTGAGCGGGTTGTGTGGTGTTTATATTATATTATATATATATATATATATATATATATATATATATATATATATATATATATATATATATATAATTGTGTTAACATTTGGCGCCTTTGTTCTCTTTTTTCTACCGAAAACCTCGATACTTCTGTTATTACAATAAGTTTCAGCTGATGAAAAATGTTTAATAACTATATCACTAATTGTAATTTTACATTTTTCTTGCAGGCTGCCCACAGTTCACATTTGGGGCGCGATGTAGTGGAAATTGCATTACTAAGTGTATGACGGAGTGTGTGGATAAAATCAGTGGAGCATGTCCTCGTAAGGATTGTTGTGAATGGATTTCGTTTTTCAAAATATCATATCTAGAAAATTATATTCATTATATGTATATATATATATATATATATATATATATATATATATATATATATATATATATATATATATATATATATATATAACGGCACCTATACAAATTCATACGCAATCACGTAAGAATACCTAAAGGCGAGGATTTTTATTGATAGGATGCAATAATTGATCTATGATAAAACTTCGTAACAGTGTCATAAAATGTCAACTGACGTAGTGTTATAAATTACGCACTTAAATTCCATTTAAATATATGTGTTACATAAATGTATGTTCAAATTATAAAATGGGAAATGAATTGCCCTGGTTTAACCACAGCGACCCCAGCGAACAACATGGTGTATTTGTGGTGGCTGGTTTTGCTATTGCCTATCGTTTTAGTGATTGTGTACCTGCTCAGGTAAGTGTTGTGTATCGGTAACTGTTGACATAGATTGACTTGATCTAGAATAAAGGTAATAATTTAACATTCTTTAAACGGTTTTAGTTTAAAACAGCATAGCAATACTTTTGTTGTTGCTTTTTTTTTATTTATTAGTTTCGAGTAAAATGGAAATCAAATGCCTAAATGATTCCGTACAAAAAGTAAAACAAAAAATATTTAACAATTCTCATATTAAAAAAGCTTAGAAATAAAGCGCAAGGCACCTCCCGAAACCTTTAGAGAACACACTTGTATAACACTATGGGGGAGGGCAACTTGGGATATAAATATGATTTTTAATCAATTTTTAATAATTTAAATTTGTAATAATCGAATAGAGTTTCGTAGATAAAAAGAATTGCACACCAAGTGAACAGCAAACTATACATGTATAATAGTGTGGAAAATTAGTACTTTATAAATTCATATACGTTTTTTGAGAAATCGAAATAGCGTAAAATACTACTTCCGGTAAGCACAGATTACTCAAAATTTAAAAGAATGCAGAGAATTAGATCTTTTACTCACATGTGAAATTTTGTTTATCCATCTGAAACAATAGTCAAATTATAGGCTTTTGAAAAACCAAAAGTAGAAGACGTTCCCATTCCGGTTATTGGAAATTGCTGAAAAGTTAAAGCAGAACTAACAATTTGATGTAATAATTACATATGAAATTTTATCAACTTAGCTGTAACGGTACTCAAGTTATCGTTATCACAAACACACAGACACACATTCTCACATTCTCACATACACACAGACTTACACACAGATATAAGGACAAAATTGCAACAACAAAAAATTTCCGATTTTTCGCACAATTACAATTACAGTACTTCAACTATATTTAGTATACGAGAAAGTAAAATAATTTTTGTAATAATAAAAAAAAAAACAATCAGTGCCATTGAGATGCGTCAGTTACACAACATTTTTTTATTATAGGAAACAAAGTGATATAGCTGCCATCGCTGAGGGTGAAATGTGAAGTTTCTTGATGTTTTATGAGCACAGCTATAACTTAGTTTGTATATAAACATTATTTTTCGTAATTTTTCTACTCTGAGTGTTTTTTGGTTACAAATGACATTGTTGGGGAAATATACCATGTTAGCTCAACCAATTCAATCTAATCAATCCTACATGATATTATGTCTTCTATCTATGTATGTATTTGCAAACACTTTTATAGACTAAAATAAAACTTAGATTTCTTAAAATTTCTTTTTTAAAGTTGTAAAGAGGTTTTTGTTTTGATTGTAGGGTAGGTAATACACCTTCTCTTACAATAAGTCGTTTCATGTTATGGTAAAATTCTAGAAGTAGTTAGAATTTGAGACTAGGCTACAAATTGTAAACAGCTAAAACTAAAATTATTTTTAAAAATAAAACAATAAAGCATAGACTATCTTAAAATAAATTAACATAATGTGTTTTCAATATTTTTAATGAAACATTTAAAAACCAAGATGCTAAGTATTTACTGTTCAAAAGAGTAAGTATTTGTAGTTTATAAAGGTAATTTTATTGTTTAACAGTTAATTTTTTTATTTTGAAAATGGACAATTATAGATGTAAGTTCATTGAGAAAATTGCATTTAAATTGTTCATTTACTCTAATAAAGTTGAAATTTTATAACCTGTTAATATTGTAAAGTACATTTACTATATATATATATATATATATATATATATATATATATATATATATATATATATATATATATATTGATTAGTTTAATGTTTTTCTTAATAAAAAAATTTTTAAAATTCATTTTAACTTCAACAGTTTCTAATGGACATTTTTTTAAAGAAAACTCCATTAAAATTAATTAAATTATTTTTTGCAATGGATTTACCAAAACCTGATTACTTTATTAACATTTTATTTGTTTTTTTTAAACAACTTAAAAATATGTTATAATAATACATTTGAGTACAAGTGTTCTTTGAATATTTTGTTTATTAAAAGATATTTTTTTGAAAACAATTGTATTGTTTAATTGAATTTTACACGATATAATGATTATCAGACCGTTTAAAATTTTATATATATATATATTATCAGAGGCGTAGCAAGGACGTAAAATAAAACACCCTTGTTAGTATCCAAAATATTGTATCTGATTAAGGGACGGTGTGGTCAAATGGTAGAGTTTTCAGCTGCTAACCCGAAAGTCTCGAGTTTAGATCCCAGGCTCGAGCCCGTAGGTTGTCTTTGATTCCATCCAGCTCAGATGGGTACGTGAAACATTAGGGAAAACGGTAAAATAAAGGCGGCTGGGCATAGTACGTACCATACTATTCCTTCATATGAAACAGGTGGACTCTACTACTCGAGCCTCATAGACCGGCAGGTTTAAAAGTTTACTGTGTATTGGTCAGGAGAGACAATCACCAGAGAACAAATATCGTCCACTTGCTACAAGAAGGAGCGTTCAAAAGGCAATGCAGCGGTGGTTTATGCCCTTATGTGGTGTACAATAGGGTTCAATCGACATAGGCATCTGAAAACACATTTTGCCATTTATCCGGTAGCTAATCTGCAAACTCAATGTATCACGTTTTTAAAAATAATAGCAGATGCAAAATTCAATTCAGCATCAGTTAGAGATTTAAAAAAAAAACAACAACTCATCCGTAGTTCAGATCCCCAAAGTGTCCTTGCAGTTGGCATGAATGTCGATGGCGCTGTGTACACGCTAAGAACAGAACATGGTGTCCTCAAACATACGTATACCAGAACAGTGTTTCTTCCATACTTTTTTCTCCGGGGGGGCACTTGAAATTTTCGGGGGGGGGGGGGGGGGGGGTAGACTTTTTTCGGGGGGGGGGGGGGGCGGACACTGTTAAAAGTATATATTTTCTATATAAATTATATACATTTCATTTCGTTCGGGGAAGCGGTAAAAAAATTTCGGGGGGGGGGGGGCAAGCCCCCCGAAGAGATGCCTGAAAGAAACTCTGTACCAGAAGTGAGTTTTTCTTTCTGCACGAACAACTGCTCCAGTAAAAACACTACGAACCAATCACTGAAAGTCGGCGATGGCTACCGATGCTCTCTGCCTGCTCGCACATAGTCATCAAAAAATGCAGACAAAATGTATAGATTAATAGATGGAGTAATAACTGTGTAATAATTTATTGAACAGCTTTGTCAATATCATTAACAAATGTGATGTTTGTTTCACTGTGTGGCTCAGATATAGAGTGCAACACTCTGTAACAAATGAAGAACATGAAAAAAAAAAAAAGATAGACCTACAGGAAAAATTTGTTACTGAAATTCGGTAAAATTTACAAATTTTATTTGTTTAGAAGTTTATTATGTATTTTTAAATATTAAAAGCCTGGTTGTAGTTTTCTTAAGTTCTTAAAATTACGGCCTAAACAGTATCGCCCTCTATTCAACCCGCTCTGACCCTAAGCAAAATTGCTGGTCAGATAGCCACTACGTAATATTTGTTTAACTTTGATACAGTGGATACAGGCAAGATAATGTATTGCAATCAAGTAAACCTCTCTGATCTCACATGTTAAAGTTTAAAGAAACTTAACTAAAATATTTAATTACGGACCAACCAAGCGATCATTTGCAAAAAACTTGAATGTTTTTTAGCATTTAATTTTTAGAATATACTAGACCACCCGTCATTCTTTTGATAACTGGGGGTTTCGGGGGTCATTCATAAATGACATCATCGTCACTAATCGTCACAAAAAAACCAGACCCCAAAAAAAGACGTTACACCTCAGACGTTTTTGTCTTTTAAAACACCGATTTCGGCTGAGCATGGGTCTGACCACACTATCCCTTCATGTGCTGAGGACACAGAAACAAGTGAACTGTACTTCACTTGCTCTGTGTCCCGCTAAGTCCCAATAAGCAACATTATCATTCATATAAAAAATGAAATTTTTTTTTGTCGTGATGGGTTTCGAACCCGTACTAGCCACATGGTAACTATTACAGTATCATTAGCTATGTGTGCACTTACAAATTAGCGCAGACGTAGTCCCATAATTAAGTGCAAAGTAAGAAACTTCAGTTACGAGAATAGCCCTTATTATTTGAAATTAAATTATATCCGAAAATTAGCCAATTCCATAGCTAAACAAAGATTTATATAAAATAATTAAAGCTTGAAATATTTTAGTATAGAAAATCATTATTGGCATAGATTCTACTCATTCTAGCTCTAAATATAGCTAGATCTCGATCTTAAGTTTAGTTTTTCCGTAACTCTAGCTCTAGATTCTAGATCTAGAACCTGGATAGATGTATTCCATGTATTCTCGAATTTAGATGATTCTTGAAGCTAAAAAGCAAATATTTATTTCAAATATTTAAGGACTAGCATAGTTTTATAAACTCAATAATTTATTGTAATTTTATAATGGTTTTTATTTTTAACTATTTAATTTCGGTTTGACCTAGAATCTGGATTCATGATCTAGGATTGACTTTCTCTTCGTCCGACAGCTGATCTATAGATCTAGAGAAATTTATTGTATACTCAAATTAGAAGAACTGTTGAAAATTGATAATAGTGTTGGAACCTAATGGCAAAAAATGGCAAACGGACGTATAGTTAAAGCTATTGCCGACAGAAAATTAGCTTTATAACGCGTTAAACTTTTGAATGGGCAAAAAAAAAAAGCTTCGGTGGAAGCCGCCATTATTGTTATAAAAAGTAAATAAATCATGTGATGTCACTATAAGTAAAATCATTGTTATGAAATGTTATAATTAGTGTGGTTAATTTACCAATGAATATATCAATAAATTAATTAACGTCTTTAAATAAATTTGTGATCAACAGTTTGGTAAAAAAGAACACTGTTCTCTACCTAAATACGTATTTTACAGCTCTACAAATAGTATAGATTATCTCCTGTAACCAAACAGATAAGCAAACAAAAAAAAACCCACCAAATAAATATACAAACATGTAAACAAACTTGAGTTTTTATAGTATACTAGACAACCCGTTATCATTAGATAACTGTGGGTTTCGGGGTCATCCATAAATGACATCACGTCTGTCACTTAGCATCACAAAATAACCAGACCCCACATTTAAAAAGGCGTCACACCTCAGACGTTTTTGTCATTTAAAAACACTGACTTTGTCTGAGCATTGGTCTGACTACATAATCTTTTCAAATGATGAGGGCACAAAAACAGGTCAACTATACTTCACCTGCCCAGTGTCCTCCCAACTCAGACATGTTTTTGTCTGTGAAATCACAGATTTTGGCTGAGCGTGGGTCTGACCTCACTATCTCTTCATATGCTGTCGTAACTGTTGAACTTTACACCTACTCAACACTACTTCACCTGCCCAGTGTTCCGCCAAGTCTCAGACAGCATGGCTCTGACCACACTATCCACGTTATATACTGAGGACAAAGAAATAGGTGAACTCTACTTCACTGGCCTGTATCCCGCTAAGTTCCAATAGGCAAAGGCACCATTATCATTCACAACTAAAAAAAAAAAAAAAAAAAAAAAAAAAATAAAAAAAAAAAAAAAAATAATAAAAAAAAAAACAACCACTGACCAGTTTAGAACTCATGCCACCGGCATGGTAACCTAATTTGCTAACCTCTTAGCTATCTAGGCTCGTACTCTGGAGATATAATAACTTATGTATTTTACTTCTAAGCGACGTAAGAATCTACGCGAATCAGCCCTAGAATTAGATTATAAATTATATTTTATCTTAAATTAGCCAATTGCATAGCTAAACAAACAAAGATTTATATAAAATAATTAAAGACTGAAATTGTTAAAGTTATAGCCGACAGAAAATTAGTTTAAGAACCCGTTAAACATCTGAATCGGCAACTAAATCTTTGATTGAAGCCGCCATTTATTGTACTAAAAAGTAAACAAATCATGTGACGTCACTATTCCCGCAAAGTAAAGTCAATGTTTTAAAGTTTTAAAATTAAAGTGGTTAATCTACCTATGAATAAATCAATAAATTAATTACCGTTTTTAAATAAATTTGTGATTAACAGTCTGTCTGAAAACAAAAATTGTTCTCTACCTACATACTATTTTAAAGCTCCACACATATTTCTGATTCTCTCCAGTAGTCAAATAAATATTCAAACATGTAAACAAATTTGAGTTTTAGTAGTATAGAGATATATATGCCACATTGAAAAAACGCACTGTATTCCGTCAAAAGCGACGAAAGGGGAAGTAACCGACTTTTATCGGTTGTGCAGGTTTTAAAATGGTTTTCTCTCCTTTTATATGAATACAATTGCACTATCAAATAAGGTATTTCTTGCAGAGATTTTGCTCTAGAAGGCTGAAGAGAGCGGTATTTGAACCTTATCGTATTTGAGAAGGTTGAAGATAAGCATGAATTTTTATGTTACCAAATGGATTCATTTCTAGGATGGAATATAGTAGACTAATATATTGGTTGGTACAGATGGTTGGTTCAGATGGTTAGGTCAGGTGGTTGGTTCAGATGGTTGGTTCAGATGGTTAGGTCAGGTGGTTAGGTCAGGTGGTTGGTTCAGATCGTTGGTT